TGTGTGTGTGTGTGTGTGTGTGTGTGGTAGAAGTATCGGTTTTTGTACTCTGTATCGGCAAGTACTCAGATCCAAGTATCGGTATCGTATCGGTTTGAAAAAATTGGTATCGTTGCATCCCTGGTAAAAACCATCACAGCCGTGCACTTCACAGCAGCTTCACCAGCAGATGTGACTGTGACGTTTTTTTCTCCCACACCCTGCGAACGCATCATTAATCACCCCTATCTATCTAACGTTTGTCTATCCACCCAGTGCACTGCGCCGAGCGTGTTCATCTGCTACCAGACGACAGCGGCGTTAAAGTAGAACTAAAGTACTATGAAACACTACGTTCAGCCATCAGTTGGTTCAAGCGTAGCTGGGTGATGCACCAGCACGATGACCTGAAGCCCATCAGAGTCCACCTCGGACTGCATCACTACAACACTTATTGTTGGGAAAGTCCAGACTTGACCCAATGAAAGGGCAGGCGCGCTCTCCTCCAATGAGGCGGAAGTAAAACTATTTGGAAAAGACGAGTGGGCCTCACTCCCAGTTATCACAAACACACGAGTGCAGTTCTTGATGCCAACGATGGCACAAGCAGGTCTTTGGTTTAGGGGATAAGTACTTTTCCACATGGTAGTTTTGGGCAGCTCGTCTCCACCTTAATGAATCATCGTTTAATGAGAACTGCATTTTATATTTACTTGGGTTGTTTTTTATTTATTTAAATAAATAAAGGTGCTCCCTCTGCACCACATTAGACCAGTACAGCACCAGTACAGCACCAGTCCATTAAGAGTCCACTGCACTCATGAAAAGGCTCCAAGCCCCTCCTCCTCTAATGCTCTCGCTCCACTTTGTTTGTTTTACCGACACCTACAGTAGCGTGGTAGCTGTACTCTATAATTAAAGCAAGGGGAGGCAATATGGCCGGTGTTCTCTTACCAGTGGGCGTCACTGGCTCTTTGTTGCAGTAGTCTGTGGTGCAGCACAGTGGGTAAATGCCACTGTCATCTTTGGTAGATGGGGCACAGATGAAGGGTCGGTCTCGTGGGATCAGGTCACGATCGTGCACGCACTGGCGCTGCTCGATGGTCATCCGGCTGCCGGACTTCTGGATGGCTACGAAGCAGATGCCGTCTGTGGTGCAGCTGGAGTTGGTGCTGCAGCGGTCACAGTAACACTGAAGGCCTGGAGGAGGAAGAAGGGGATTAATCCACTAAAACTTTATTTACACAGCACAAAATCACAACAACAGTCGCCTCACGGTGCTTTATTTTGTACAGTAGACCTACAATAATACATACAGAGAACAATCACATGACCCCCTATGAGCAGCACTTTGGCGACAGTGGGAAGGAAAAACTCCCTTTGAACAGGAAGAAACGTCCAGCAGAACCAGGCTCACATCTATGGGCAGTTAACCTAAGCCATCTGCATGTGTTTGGACCACGAGACGAGCCGGAGTACCTGAAGAGAACGCACGCAGACGGAGAGAGAACTCGCCACATAAGGATCCGCCCATTTACCATTTGTTCATCAAAGACACAAACGCACCACAATAGCACGACAGTGTCATCACATGATATTATACAACTCAGCTCCTGAGTGGGCGATCACAATGAAGCAGTTCATCTGTAGGTTCAGGCTGCGCTTCATAGTTCGGCCACCAGATGTCACCAAAGACAACTGAGTCGATGTGAGTAATGAAGTACGAGCTTCAGAGAGCTTCACTGGGCCGAGACTAAGAAGAAGCAATCATTAAATATCTCATTCAGGCCTTTTACACTCAGCTTTATGTTACATACTCAGCAGGGGGCACTTCTACAGAAACCAACACTTCTAAGGAATGGGAGTTATGGGAACCAGCAGTGTGACGCAGAGAACTACAAAC